TCCGTGTTCCCATGTTTCACAATATCAACACAAGGCAATGTTTTCATACCGTTATCACAGAACCTAGGGTTAAATGTCATTCTAGTCGCTGAGTCAGTTGTTTGTAGTGCGCATGCCGGTGCATGTGTTTGTGTCAAGTCAAGTTTAATCTTATAAATCACAACATGTGATACAGAGAAGATTGTGGCTCGTCACCTATTCCAAGATTACATCATGTACACATTCAGTTTTCTCTACTTACCCGGGGCGGTCGGGTAGCCTAGTGGTTAAAGCGTTAGCTCGTCACGCCGAAGACCCGGGTTCGATTCCCGACATGGGTACAATGTGTGAAGCCCATTTCTGGTGTCCCCCGCCGTGATATTGCTGGAATATTGCTAAAAGCGGCGTAAAACCTCACTCACTCACTCACTCACTCACTCTACTTACCCTGTACCATCCACCAGTTTCTGTTGGGAGATAGTGATTACCTAATCTATATCGAGTTGGCTTAATCTGAGGTTTACAGGCAGTGACATTAGGTATGGTTCAATTAAGGATTGAAGTTGTATTTGTTGACGTTCATCAGCGGATGAAGACAGTGCCTCACGTGAGCTAATTCCATAATGAACGAAGCATCAACCAAGTCAGCGAGCTTGACCACCCAATCCCGTTAGTCGTCTCTTACGACAAGCACAGTCGCCTCTTAAAGCAAGCATGGGTTGCTGAAGACCTATTCTACCCCGGTTGTTCACTTGTAACTTCTAAAACATGGAATAAAAAATACCTTTTGAAGAGGATGTCATCTCTCTTCTTCAATCGTGAAAGAATTGACCTATTAGAGCTGTTCCGACTTTATGCTTCAACCATGAAATGCTGGTAACTTATCGCGATTGAGATAACCACCATACATAATTTAACCCCGTGCTCTCTGGTATAGCTTAAATAAGATTAAAACTTCTGTTACAATTTATGCATCTTATACATAACCTCATATGCTGCATTCACCAGCTTATTTGGTGAGAGTATAATATTACTGCAAAATAAAATCGTTCTTGTTTTTATGATAATTTTGATTGGTTTCTTTCAAGTGCACGTTGACGGGTGCCATCGGGTGCTCACCTTTTCGCGAACGCCTGATAGTGATTTATAACCAGAAGCGAGTAACAGAGTATATTCGTCTTAACGTGCGTGTAAATTTAAGTCTCTCCAACTAGATGCATTCCTTTACTGGTTAATCGCCGATTAAACATTCATATTCAACGAAAAACTAGCAATATTATACTCTCCGACAAAAATGTATGAAATATAAATGTTATGATCGGTCATCGGTAGGAAGATCTCTGTGAACAAGGATAGGGGGTCATTCTTGATTTTGACACTTCAGGGAAAGGTCATCAATTCGTTCTGAGCCATAAGTATTGTTAATTTTCATTATCCACAGTGAACTCTCCACTCTTGCTTCAATGCAGTATTTCAGATCAGATTTGGAATGCATCCTTCACAACGTGACGAACGCCTAAGGGCTATTGGCCTGCTTCAAAAGGGTATCAAATATGTTTAATGTGTCTCAGTGTGTGATTTACAGACTGTGGAACAGCTTTCGGCAGACACAGAATGTTAATGGTCTCAGTACAAGAACCGAACAATCAGAAACCAGGCTATAAGTAATCGAATCAAATCGCTGTTCACCTTCGCCAGGCAAGCGGAGTTCAACATCCTGACAATACATTTAGAAAATGTCTGCATGCTCGACGGAACCTTTTGTACCACCGTTAACACATCAACACATTCTAGCCAGACGCCAGTTGTTTTCAAAGCAAAGAAACTGTGAGACTCGCCGATGGTTTCATGTGATGTTTTCAGATGAGTCTATATCCACTCTGGACTTTATGGATCGGCGTGGACGTCCCTGGAGGCGTCCTAACGAACCTCTTGCGAAAGTCAAACCAAGGCAACATGACAGATTTGGGTGGGTGGGTGGGTATGTAATGATGCGGGGCGGGATCACTATGACTGCCTGCCTATACGTTTAATACGATAAAATTGGAAGACTGGTTTAATCATTTTAAGGGTTTATTTGACGATAGATCAGAAGAGAATGGCTCAGATGTTAATGATTTTCATAATTATTTCGAGTCAGTTTTGGAAAATACTTTTGAGAATGATATTACAAGGGATATCTTAGATCCACCAATTTCAGAAGATGAGATAAGAGTAAGCATTCGGCATCTTAAAAAAAATAAATCCCCCGGAAATAGATTACCTTATCCCGGAGTTTTTCAAACACGCTGAAGATTTATTAACGCCATACCTACTGGTAATGTTTAGTTTAATGCTTGAAAAATCTTACTTTCCTAAATGTTGGGATGTTGGTATTATCATACCCCTATTCAAGAATGATGACCCAAATATGACTGACAATTATCGAGGTATTACACTTCTTGGTATATTTAGTAAAGTTTTCTTGTATATCATCAATAAAAGACCAGTTTTTTGGTCCAACGCTACAGGTAAAATCAGTGAGGCACAAGCAGGATTTAGGGAAGCATACTCAACCACGGACAATATTTTTGATTTTGTATAATCTCATTCAGGGCTATATATCAAGCAAAGGGGGTAAATTTTACGTTTTATTTGTTGATTTCTCTAAAGCTTTTGATTCTGTGGATAGAAGTAAATTATGGATATTATTTACCAAGCATGGCCTGGGCAGTAAAATGGTAAAACTATTATGTAGCATCAATAATAATGTAAAAGCATGTGTAAGAAATAACGGTGTAATGTCCACCGCTTTTGACTGCAGCATTGGTGTACGCCAGGGATGTATACTTAGCCCTTTTTTGTTTGTATTCTTTATTAATGAACTAGCTACAGCTGTTCATCAGAACTGTACAGATGGTATATAACTTCATCCAGACATTGTCAAGCTTTTCCTTCTGTTATTTGCTGATGACATTATCATGTTTTCTAGTACGGTGAAAGGATTGCAGAAACAAATAGCAGAATTAGAAGTTCATTGTGATAAGTTTAATTTGAAAATTAATACAAATAAGCCAAAAATCGTTGTTTTCCAAAAAGGTGGCAAATTATCAAGGTTTGAAAAGTGGTTATTTAAAGGTCAGTGTTTAGAAGTAGTTAAGGGTTATAAATAATTAGGTGTGTATTTTCCCAATACGTTGGCATGGAATACACATGGAAATAATGCTGCTGTACAGGGAAAGAAAATATTGTTGGGCATGTTCAGTAGTTTAAAAAATGTTGGGGCTGTAAACTATAGAATATATTTCAAAATATTTGACACGAAAATTAAACCCATTCTTTTATATGGGGCAGAAATTTGGGGATTTACACAAATAGATGCTCTGGAAAAAGTTCATTTATATGCTTGTAAGAAATATTTAGGAGTTAAAATGAATACCCCAAACGTGATGGTTTATGGTAAATGTGGACGAGTCCCTTTGTGTATAGAAGCACGTCTGAAAATAATAAAATTTTGGATAAGACTACTTAATATGCCCTCCTCAAGATATCCTAAGAAATGTTACAATATGATGTGTTTGTATGATAGCAATGGCAAAACAAATTGGGTAACCGACTTAAGGAACCTGCTGAATAATTGTGGTTTTGGTTACATTTTTAAATTAGAACATATTGCTTATCCGAAGTTGTTCATAAATGCTATAACACAAAGATTAAAAGATTTATATTTTCAGTCATGGAATGCAACTCTAACGCGTTCACCAAAGTCCCTGTTATATAGCAGTTTCAAGTCATATATCAATGCAGAGCAATACCTTTTCAGTGTTAGTCTTAGAAAAGTTAGGGTAGCACTTGCAAGAATTCCGATGTTCATCACACGATCTTTTAATTGAAAAAGGTAGATATCAAAATATTCCGAGAGAAAATAGACTCTGTCCACTATGTGACCTAGGATTAATTGAGGACGAGTATTACTTTTTACTAGTATGTCCGCATTATGATGAACTAAGAAAAGTATATTTACCAAAATATTTAAGTTTAAACTATTACTGACCACTAGCAACATTGAAACCATAAGAAATCTTTCTATGTACATATATCATGCTTTTATACAAAGAAAATCAAGTTTGGAAATTATATGATTGTACCAATTGCTCCTGTAATCATGATTGTACTATAGGCCTGTGGCCTCCTCAGTACGTTGAATAAAGAAATTGAAATATTTAATTTGACTGTCTGGACGCCACTGTGTATTGTTCAGGAAGGGTCACTGGACAGTTCTACCGAGGTAACATACTGGCGTCAATAGTTATGCCGTTTGCGCGCCATGCTGGTCCACACCTTGTCTTCTAAGACGATAACACTTGTGCCAAGTGAACCTGCAGTTCCCCACCGGGTCAAACGTTGGCTAAAAGTTTAATAGTTTGATCATATTTAAACGTCGCTGTCGGTTATATCTGCTACATCACAGTTGCCGTTATAACTAATGAGCGGCAGTGTGGTTAATGAACGTCTGCGATATCAAGTGAAAAACAATTCTTTCACCCGCTGAAGCAGACAGGGTTGACTTGGTCTGTTACGTGCGTCACAATGGATACGGACGAGGTTTGTCATCAATGATTCAGAAGAGCGTTTTGTTTAGAAGGACGCTCAATATAGTCAGCCTATACACATATTACACTCTAAAGGCATCTGCACTCGACATTTCAAATATTTTTTAAATTCATTGAGACAATTTCTGTAGCGTGTTTTGCTGTTTGATCTTGGGAATTGTAATCAATTGATTGATGATTAAGTAATTCACTTAGCCACACAAGACTGAGTAATACATTCAATTTGCCGAAGAAAGACCCGTTGAACCCCCCCTCCCCCACCCCAAAGGAATACTTCTTATTGTTTATGTCAGGGCACAGTTAAGTCATTTCAGTCTTTAAACAATCAGTCATCCGGTTATCAATGCTCAGTTCACCAACATGAACTCTACAATTAATTAAGTTGCATACATTGACTATTATGTTAAATACCCGGATGCGTACTGAACAACGATGTTCTAGGTGGATCAGACGAAGACGACTAATGCGCTCGGGTACTCTGCGCCTGGAACGTGAAAGACCAACTCAGCGCCCTCTGTTTCAACCATGCACAGGGCCTTGAAGGCAACACGGACGCAGAATGCTTGGAGTGATATTTTCCTTCCATGATATATCGTGAAACTAATCATTTTCATAACAGAGTGACGAAATAACTACTAGTGTATGGATGACAAGAAACACTGATTTTAAGAAGACTGTAATAAACACAGCTTTTATAACAGACGTGTGAAACAGTCAAGAGACACATTTTTTAAGAAGGTAAGGAAGTGACCTGTCCAACACATACTTAACGTCACAACTGCACGAGTGGACATCGACGACCTTGATTAATGATATAATGTTATGAGGAAATAATTTTAAAAACCTACAAAATGAAAAGCTTTCTGACAACAATGTTGCTTGTGGAGCTGATGACAGGGTGTGGTCAAGTCACGGGGACATGCAGTCGAGGGGTTAACACCCCCGGGCTCATGGCTAGTAGTAGGCTCGTGGGGTCAGTCTACCTCGTGCTCCAGACCCTCACCCTACAGGACTGTGTGACGTCATGTTTGCAGCAGTCTCGCTGCGTCAGCTTGAACTTCAAGGCGGGACAATGCGAGCTCAACTACGACAACTCGACAACGGCTCCTTCTGGAATGGTGGCTGCCTCTGGTTGGAACCATGCAAGCGCGTCACATATGCCATCGGTAAGTAATAATAATTATAAATATTATAAAAATAATGAATATAACATTTGTTCTTAAAACTGACCCGTGGAAGGTAGGGCTCCAAGTGTGTGTCAGTGTAGGACGCCGATTAACGAATTCAGGTGCACCTTTTTATACTCTACCAAAACTGTATGTTGGAGGCATACGTCACAGCAGTCACATGGTCACAACATCCTACCGGGTACCCATTCACTACTTAGTGATCAGGCACATGTCGATCGTAATCACAAGTTAATCATTATGGCACAGATACCACATGCCACCAGTATCGTATAGATCCAACTTGCACCAGTATGGTACAGATCCACATGCCACCAGTATGGTACAGATCCGAATGCCACCAGTATGGTACAGATCCGCATGTCATCAGTATGCTACAGATCCACATGCCACCAGTATGGTACGGATCCGAATGCCACCAGTATGGTACAGATCCATGTGTCACCAGTATGGTACAGATCCGCATGTCACCAGTAGGGTACAGATCCGCATGCCACCAGTATGGTACAGATCCACATGTCACCAGTATGGTACAGATCCACATGCCACCAGTATGGTACAGATCCACATACCACCAGTATCGTATAGATCCACATGTCATCAGTATGGTACAGATCCATGTGTCACCAGTATGGTACAGATCCACATACCACCAGTATCGTATAGATCCACATGTCACCACTATGGTACAGATCCATGTGTCACCAGTATGGTACAGATCCACATGTCACCAGTATGGTACCGATCCACATGCCACCACTATGGTACAGATCCACATGCCACCAGTATGGTACAGATCCACATGCCACCACTATGGTACAGATCCACATGCCACCACTATGCTACAGATCCACATGTCACCAGTATGGTACAGATCCACATGCCACCACTATGGTACAGATCCACATGTCACCAGTATGGTACAGATCCACATGCCACCACTATGGTACAAATCCACATGTCACCAGTAGGGTACAGATCCACATGCCACCAGAAGGGTACAGATCCACATGCCACTTCTATGGTACAGATCCACATGCAACCAGTATGGTGCAGATTCACATGCCACCAGTAAGGTGCAGATCCACATGCCACCAGTATGGTGCAGATCCACATGCCACCAGTAGGGTACAGATCCACATGCCACCAGTATGGTACAGATCCACATGCTACCAGTATGGTGCAGATCGACATGCCACCAGTATGGTGCAGATCCACATGCCACCAGTAGGGTACAGATTCACATGTCACCAGTAGGGTACAGATTCACATGCCACCAATATGGTGCAGATCCACATGCCACATGCCTTTCATTCAGCATCAGACCGCCTCCTCGGTCTAGTGGTAGAGCGTCCGCCCGGAGAGCAGAAGGTCCGGGGTTCGATCCCAGGCCGCGTCATAACAAAAGACGTTAAAAGATGGTACTTGTTGTAACCCTGTCTGGCGCTCGGCATTAAAGGGCTAAAACAAGGACTGGTCGGCTCGGAGTCAGTATACTGTGTCTGAGTTGGGTATTTATGTTCAATTGCAGCATGATATCAAAGTGTGCTCGCACTATAAATCGGCATCAGTCCGGACTAGTACAAGCAGCCACACACACACGAGCATGCACATCGCTATATAAATGCAATAACCTTGGACGCGACGTTAAACCCCATTTCACCTCACCTCACCTCACCTCACCTCACCTCAGCATCAAAAACTGTCTACAAACAGGAGAACTCCCATTGAAACTAAGAAGAGAGCAGGAAATATTATCGTGGGGGCGAACATCAAACTCTTTGGTGAAAAAGATACGGCAATACAAAAATACCCGAGATTAGGCCCTAGCTCGGAAAAAATCCCTCACTAAAGCCATCTGGGATAAGCCATCTGATCATAAGTAACAATTATGATGACATTTAACCACTAGAAAGTCAATACAAAGGGTTTCACCCTCCCATAGTTGACACTGCTTTAACGTCAGAAGTCACTAAAAAAAAACAACCCCCACTACGATCAGTAGCTATTGCTAAAATTCAAACTACCTGGGACAGCTGGGCCCATATATACACTGATAGATCCAAGAGTCTTATCCACACCAGTGCTGGTTACAGGATCCAAATCCGTAGCTCCAAACCCCAAGCACATTAGGTTCGCCTGCATGATGGTCAGACAGTATTCACTGCTGAACTGGAGGCAGTTCATCATTCACTCAAACTCATACCGGAACTTCCGGAAGGCAGTCATCCTATCAGACTCGCTATGTGCACTTCAAGCCATCAACGGCAGAAACTCAAATTCGTGACAAAACACTGTCAATAATATTCTACACGAATATACAAAATTATAGGTCAGCGCCTCACATATGGAAATGAGAAAGCAGACACTTTGGCGAAGCTAGCTCTAGACAAAGTGGAATTCCCTTCAGTAAACAAGAAATAAAAAGCAAAATCAAAGCCTCCATTGCCCAAAGATCGGTAGATGACTACACAAAATTGAACCCAAGGTCCACCAAAAGCCAAACTCATACTCAAAGTTGAAGTCGCCACCTGACGCCTAACACCTAGTAACAAAAAGCACAATGACAAGGTATGCCCAACTTGCAATCAACCTGAATCCATTGCTCACTTGTTACTGGAATGTCAAGAGCCCAAGCCCGGGCTCGGTTAAAACAGGAATTGCAGTTAGATTCCCTATCTGTCGTAGATCTCCCAGAGGCACGAGATGCAATAGCGAAGGCCAAACTAACTCTATTTCTGAGGGATGGACAGCTACTCGAACGTATATAAACAGAGCAGCCAAAAATGAAATAATATCAATATACGAAAATAGAAATCTTATCAATACATAAACAGAAATATTGCCAATACTAAAACTAACAATAAGCATGTGTACCCTACTCACACACATGAGTCCCAAAGAGGGACAGGCCAGCCGAAAATGCAGAAAGCACAAAATGTAACAAATAGACTAGTCAAATTTTCAGAAAATGTTAATGGTGGTGGCATTTCATGTTTACGGCTGGCAAACAACTATTCTAGACGTATTGATATGCTCTAAATTAATTTAGGGGGTTTGCCCGGCTGTATCTTCAACGGTTAACCCACAAATTTGATAAAATCAAAATGGCCGCCACCGAAACTTTAAACAAATATTTTTGTCATATCTTTGGTACTTAACATGGTGGGACCACAAAAAAACAACATTTCTCTGTATGTTTTCATGTACAAGGAATCCATTGAAACCATACGTTAACCCTCAATATGTCAAGAAATCAAGATGGCCGCCATATTAAGGCAAATTCGATTACTGACTGCTTCTGATGCAAACGGAGTCTTATTTATATGAGTGACTCAACTTTACTATTATGGTTGTAATGTGGGAGAAACTAACTGTAAATGATACAGCTATAGTTAAATATAGTTGTTTGCCTTCACCGTCAACATTTTTGATTGAAACTTCCCACAGTCTTGTCAATGATCAACGTAGAATAGGTTTGTTTGTTTGTTTGTTGTTTAACGCCGCACTCAGCAATATTCCAGCTATATGACGGCGGTCTGTAAATAATCGAGTCTGGACCAGACAATCCAGTGATTAATATCATGAGCATCGATCCACGCAATTGGGATCGATGACATGCATCAACCAAGTCAGCGAGCCTGACCACCCTATCCCGTTAGTCGCCTTTTACGACAAGCAGAGTCACCTTTTACGGCAAGCATGGGTTTCTGAAGACCTATTCTACCCCGGAATCTTCACGGGTCACGTAGAATAGGAATGAGCTGCATAGTGAAAGCGAAATCTCATCTCTTTAACGTTTCTCATATTGAATATCAATCCATGCATGATACATTTATAACATTGCAGAAATATCAAACTTTTATCTTTTATATAAAATTGTTGTAATTTTACATAACTAACTGTGTGTGGAGGACCACTTGGTGACATAGTTTATGTACCATCAGGTAGAATGTTACTGCATTCTTCTGCATGAATGTGACATTTGCAAGCTTTAATGCACAGTAAGCGCATTTTCCTGCAGCTACAGAGTTTACTCAGGCATTCCTTGGAGCATCCACATGACATGATCTCTGAGCATGCTTTTGGGATGGGCGGCAGAGAGAGAAGTCGTGTTACCAGCTGCCCATCTTTGCGATGCCAAACCAAATCTGTTACCATGGGATGCAGTCCTTGCATTGGTCAACAGACCACTTGAGTTCCATGAACTTCGGATATAGACTCTCGTCAACTGAGTCTTGTTTGTCATCATCATCAGCACTGTTCACTCTGTCCTCTGACAGTCGTTGTTCGCCCAATAGCAGGTCAAGAAACATGTGGAAATTTAGGATTTCGTCAAATTCAAAAAGAGATTAGTAACGGGTGATGAAACATGCTCCCAAGTCAAAACGTCAATCCATGGAATGGCACCATTCCACTTCTCCGGCACCAAAGAAAGTCAAGTTTTCAAGATCAGCGAAGAAAGTTATGGCCACTGTATTCTGGTATGCAAAGGGTGTGATCCTTGCTGATTACGTAGACAGGCAAAGGTCGATTACCGGTGCCTACTATGCTGATTTGCTTCATCACCTAAGAGATTCTATCAAAGAAAAGGGGCGGGGAATGCTGGAGTTCGTGACAATGCCTCTTTTCACACACCTCAACTTGCAAAGGCTGCTGGGCGACAATGTGGGTTCCAAGAGCTTCTTCCCCCTCCATACTCGCCAGACGTGGCGCCAAGTGATTTCCACCTGTTTCCTAAACTGAAAGAACACCTTCGTTGAAAGCGCTATGACGACCTCAAAGCTGCCGTGAATGGGTATTTCAGGGTCGCTTAAGGAAATTTCTTCCTGACTGGAATTGAAAAGCTTCACTGTCGATGTGAGAAGTGTATTGAAAAGAATGGAGATTATGTTGTCAAATAAAATTAAAAACACTTTCACAAAATTGGTTTGTTTGTTAGGCTCAGAACATTTTGACCAGCCCTCGTATATATACTGTATCTAACTTAGAAAGTTAAAGAAAAGATTTGATTTCAAACAACCGTCCCTAAACTAAAACAATCACGGTATCAAAAAGCCAATGTAATTTGATCTTCTTTTCAGCGACTTGCCGGAATTTGTGGGCCAAGGCCGTGTAGTGTGAACGAAACGTGTAGAGACAGGGGCGGGACCTACGAATGTGAACAAGGTAACCTGTCCACTTCTATAAACAGATCATGACAACATGCCCACGACCAATCACGCATATAGCTAACCGTCAATAACATGTCCACATTCATCACGTATATAACATGCTATCTCTAACATGTAAACATTCATCACGTATATAACATGCTATCACTGACATGTGCACATTCATCACGTTTATAACATGCTATCACTGACATGTGCACATTCATCACATATATAACATGCTATCACTGACATGTGCACATCCACCACGTATAAAACATACTATCACTGACATGTGCACATTCATCACGTATATAACATGCTATCACTGACATGTGCACATTCATCACGTATATAACATGCTATCACTGACATGTGCATATTCATCACGTATATAACATGCTATAACTGACATGTGCACATTCATAACGTTTATAAGATGCTATCACTGACATTTGCACATTCATCATGTTCATAACATGCTATCACTGACATGTGCACATTCATAACGTTTATAAGATGCTATCACTGACATGTGCACATTCATTCCGCATATCACATGCTATAACTTACATGTGCACATTCATCACGTATTTAACATGCTCACTGACATGTGCACATTCATCACATATATAACATGCTATAACTGACATGTGCACATTCATCAAGTATATAACATGCTGTAACTGACATGTGCACATTCATCACGTATATAACATGTTATCACTGACATGTGCACATTCATCACGTATATAACATGCTTTGACTGACATGTGCACATTTATCACGTATATAACATGCTATCACTGACATTTCCACATTCATCACGTTCATAACATGCTATCACTGACATGTCCACATTCATCACGTATATAACATGCTATAACTATTATGTGCACATTCATCACGTATATAACATGCTATAACTGACATGTGCACATATATCACGTATATAGCATGCTATAACTGACGTGCACATTCATCACGCATATAACATGCTATCACTGACATGTGCACATTCATCACGTATATAACATGCTATAACTGACGTGCACATTCATCACGTATATAACATGCTATCACTGACAGGTCGACATTCATTACGTATATAGAGAATGCTACACTCATTCTCGTTAGATACCAATTTTACGAAACGAGTTGACTTTCTATGGTATCTGACCGAGCGAAAGCGAGAAAAGAAAGTTCACGAGTTTCGTAAAAATGGTATCTAACGAGAATGAATGTGGTATTTTATTTATTACCCTGGTTAAATATGTATGTAAGTGTAAATACATAACAACTTGTATTCGTTGACAGACCAAACTGAAACCGGTTGCCAAATCTGGTTGTGCATGAATATTGATATATGCCCAAATATGGGCATTGCTGACACTCCTTTGCATACGCATTAACAACATGCGCCTGCAGTTGTGTTTTCAAACATAACAGCACCGACGCTCAATATCCTTTAGGAAGAATTTCTTCAACTTATGAGAATTCAAGTGCCATGTTGTTAGTACGCAGGACACCTATAAGAAAATTTGAATAGTCACATTAGAGCTGCGCTTTGAATATCGGACCAACCGTCGGTCACTCGCACTGCCGGGGTCCCGTCTGTGCATTCAAAATGGTTCGGTTTCCTTGATCTATCAGCTGAATTTATATCATGTCCGTACCATTTTGGAAGAGGGAAATCAGAGCGTTCGCCAAAGACATTCATGTTTACTGTACCACCCTATACTGAAGACGTGAAAATCAACACGCTCAAATCTGCTTGCATGTCAGTGACAGCTTCGAACGAAGGGCAAGATCACCACCGGAATAAGAAAAGACAACCGTTTTACGCTAGAGATAGGGAATGTTATTGCTCACCTATGGGATATTTGGGCCACATAATCAGAAATCAGGCACACTTCTACGGAGTTTTCGAATGATTTGTAACGGAAATGTTCACTTTGAGTGATCTGGTTGTGCAGTCGTGAACAAACGACTCCCGAAACAGTGCCACAAAATACGCTTCGAAGAGGACACTGATGGCACAACCGGATCATCCCAAGTGAGTGAATGAGTGAGTGAGTATGGTTTTACGCCGCTGTTAGCAATATTCCAGCGATATCACGGCGGGGGACACCTTAAATGGGCTTCACACATTGTACCCAAGTCGGGAATCGAACTCGGGTCTTCGGCGTGACGAGCGAACGCTTTAACCACTAGGCTACCCGACCGCCCGAATCATCCCAAGTAAGTCTAGATATCTGTCCAGATAGTTTAAACTGACTTCATTTCACCACGCTTATCCTGCTACGTTAAATCAAATTGGAAGTTGCGAACGTGGTCAGGTACATCACGCCCATTGGGACCCTCGACATATTGAATGGTAGTCGTTCATTGAAATTTGATATAGCTCGATTACATAATGTCTGTGGAAGCTCAATGCATAACTTATATAGGATGCAAACAGAATTTGATGCGTGTGACTATCTTGTTTGGTTTAATAAAGTGTTTGTTAATATCTCTCGCTCACATGAGATTGCTTCAGTTCTGCCTTGTAGTTGCAAAAATGAATGACGTCTCATGATTTTTTTATGCATGAAAAAAGAAGTCCCGGTGTGACAGAGGTCGCGGTTATCACATCAAAACGAATAAAACAAGGTCAACCTTGTACGACACACGTGTGACGTACGGATTTAGTATCTTACCACCTGTATCTTCACCAGGTGGTAATAAATAACATGCTATCACTGACATGTGCACATTCATCACGTATATAACATGCTTTAACTGACATGTGCACATTCATCACGTATATAACATGCTTTAACTGACATGTGCATATTCATCACGTATATAACATGCTATAACTGACATGTGCACATTCATCACGTATATAACATGCTATCACTGACATGTGCACATTCATCACGTATATAACATGCTATAACTGACATGTGCACATTCATCACGTATATAACATGCTGTCACTGACATGTGCACATTCATCACGTATATAACATGCTTTAACTGACATGTGCACATTCATCACGTATATAACATGCTATCACTGACATGTGCACATTCATCACGTATGTAACATGCTATAACTGACATGTGCACATTCATCACGTATATAACATGCTATCACTGACAAGTCCACATTCATCACGTATATAACATGCTATCACTGACATGTGCACATTCATCACGTATGTAACATGCTATCACTGACATGTGCACATTCATCACGTATGTAACATGCTTTAACTGACATGTGCACATTCATCACGTATATAACATGCTATCACTGACAAGTCCACATTGATCACGTATATAACATGTTATCCCTAATATTCATCATTCATCACGTGCAGAAACTGGTTTGCACAAACTGCTAATATAGCCTTTCATCACTATAATGGCCACATTCAACACGTATTAAACATGCTACTACGTACATGTCCACATTCATCAGGTGCTTTCAGTAACTGGTTTGAACACATTGCTAATATAGCCTTTCATCACTATAATGGCCACATTCAACACGTATTAAACATGCTACTACGTACATGTCCACATTCATCAGGTGCTTTCAGTAACTGGTTTGAACACATTGCTAATATAGCCTTTCATCACTATAATGGCCACATTCAACACGTATTAAACATGCTAATACGTACATGTCCACATTCATCAGGTGCTTTCAGTAACTGGTTTGAACACATTGCTAATATAGCCTTTCATCACTATAATGGCCACATTCAACACGTATTAAACATGCTACTACGTACATGTCCACATTCATCGGGTGCTTTCAGTAACTGGTTTGAACACATTGCTAATATAGCCTTTCATCACTATAATGGCCACATTCAACACGTATTAAACATGCTACTACGTACATGTCCACATTCATCGGGTGCTTTCAGTAACTGGTTTGAACACATTGCTAATATAGCCTTTCATCACTATAATGGCCACATTCAACACGTATTAAACATGCTACTACGTACATGTCCACATTCATCAGGTGCTTTCAGTAACTGGTTTGAACACATTGCTAATATAGCCTTTCATCACTATAATGGCCACATTCAACACGTATTAAACATGCTACTACGTACATGTCCACATTCATCAGGTGCTTTCGGTAACTGGTTTGAACACATTGCTAATATAGCCTTTCATCACTATAATGGCCACATTCAACAAGTATTAAACATGCTACTACGTACATGTCCACATTCATCGGGTGCTTTCAGTAACTGGTTTGAACACATTGCTAATATAGCCTTTCATCACTATAATGGCCACATTCAACACGTATTAAACATGCTACTACGTACATGTCCACATTCATCGGGTGCTTTCAGTAACTGGTTTGAACACATTGCTAATATAGCCTTTCATCACTATAATGGCCACATTCAACACGTATTAAACATGCTACTACGTACATGTCCACATTCATCGGGTGCTTTCAGTAACTGGTTTGAACACATTGCTAATATAGCCTTTCATCACTATAATGGCCACATTCAACACGTATTAAACATGCTACTACGTACATGTCCACATTCATCGGGTGCTTTCAGTAACTGGTTTGAACACATTGCTAATATAGCCTTTCATCACTATTATGGCCACATTCAACACGTATTAAACATGCTACTACGTACATGTCCACATTCATCGGGTGCTTTCAGTAACTGGTTTGAACACATTGCTAATATAGCCTTTCATCACTATAATGGCCACATTCAACACGTATTAAACATGCTACTACGTACATGTCCACATTCATCGGGTGCTTTCAGTAACTGGTTTGAACACATTGCTAAATACAGCTGCTCGCCGTCACCTTACTGCCTTTACCCGGATCGTATTCGCGTGATCAAAACTCAATGATGATGTTTATCGCTAGCAAAATGATGATGATGATGATGATGATGATGCTGATGATGATGGAGATTTTACAAGCGCTTTCGCTGACCCAATTTTATGAGCATCATAAGACATATTTTACGATTTAAGGAAGGCGTCGATGACATGATGATGAACTGCCTCCGTTCTTTTTTGCAGAGGAGTTATGCATCACGAATTCGACGCTCTATCTCGGAACCCTGAACATTACCAACACCGGCCGGACATGTCAGAGGTGGGACACTGACATCCCACACAATCGTCTGTATTTCCCCCGGGGAATGTCAGCCGAGGACCCCGCCCTAGTTGACGAGAGCAACTACTGTCGGATGACAGGCAATCAAGTGCCGTGGTGCTATACGGTGGACCCCAGCGTACGTTGGGAAGAATGTGGCGTCCCTTACTGTTGAGTAAGTCAGGGAGTAGGGTTTTAAGCCGCTTTTAGCAATATTCCAGCAACACCAAGGCGGGGAACACCAGAAATGAGCTTCACTCAATGTACCCATGTGGGGAATCGAACACGGGTCTTCAGCCTGACGAACGATCCCCTAACAGTGTCGAATGTTTTCAGTGTTCCCCTAACAGTGTCAAATGTCGTTCGTGATCTAACAGTGTCGAATGTTTATGATGATCCCCTAACAGTGTCGTGTGGTGTTGATGAACCCATTAGAGTGTCAAATGTTGTTGATGATCCCCTAACAGTGTCGAATGTTGTTGATGATCCCCTAACAGTGTCGAATGTTGTTGATGATCCCCTATCAGTGTCGATCGTTGTTGATGATCCCCTAACAGTGTCGAATGGTGTTCATGATCCTCTAATAGTGTCGAATGTTGTTGGTGATCCTCTAACAGCGTCGACTGTTGGTGATCCCATTACAGTGTCGAATGTCGTTGTGGTGATCCTCTGTTTTCATTATCGATCTACAGGGATCAAGAATAACATGAACTATCCTGACAAGGGACTTTTTTCAACGTTGCTTATCGCAGAGCTCAGGATTTTCTTGAGAAGACCTTGATGCGTTTGAGTCACTGAAGGAGTATGGTTTAGACATAGTAGCTTCACTTGCAGTATCAATATATGAACACGAAGCAATCATTAACGAACGGACTATCAACTGTGCTACTGTACCACGTCGTCCTTGCCAGGCTATGAGACGTTTATAGACATCATATTGACGCTCAAGTGTGTGACAGTATATGTCTTATAGACATCATAAGAACGCTCATGTATGTGACAATAGACGGTTCATAGACGTCATATGAGTGCTCAAGTGTATGACAGCAGATGTCATATAGACGTTACATGGACGATCAAGTGTATCACGTCATATGGAGTATGTCCTAGTTAATACTAAAATGGGGATTCCGGGTTAAAATTGGTCCCTGGCAACCTATGCTGGTCCTTATAGGCGACCAAATGGATCGGGTGGTCAGGCTCGGTGACTTGGTTGAAGGCGTGTGATCGTACCCCAACGGCGAGGAAGATTGCTCATAATATCGATCACTGGATTGTCTGGTCCATACTCGATTATTTACAGGCAGCCTTTATATAGCTGGAATATTGCTGAGTGCAGCGACAAACAACAGAACGAACAAAACAAACAAACATATTCTAATTAATAGCTTGAGGAAGGTGGTATGTGGTGTGAGAGTTACGTGGCGATGTGATGATGTGGTTCTGGACGTCAGACTCTGCCTCGCTGGTCCGGAAACTCCGGCATCTAGATGACTCCAGAGGATGGGATTATACATAGCTATATAACTGTCTCCGTATGGCGATGCTTTGTAGCCGTGTTCCCAACTGCGTGTGATTTTACATCTGATTAATTCCTTTGAGACCGAAATGTAAACATGAATATCGACAGACTGATGCCTTGTATTTGCAATTCTAGATGTCCGAAAGGTCTTTGATATGCATTTAGAAGTTGGCAGTTGACAGAAATACTAAATATGAAGACCGTTTGCCAAGAGGAAGGTCAGAAGTTAATACCTGGAACGTTATATACAGAGAATACAGAAGCTGAAATCCATTCATCTTTTGTGTCTTATCACAGTGCTGTAACAGTACCATATAAATGTAGGCGTGGCACATGGCCTTTCTTAGGCAACGTATATGATTCAAAGAGTTGGACAGATTAAACAAATTATCTGTCATCAAAACCTTGTTGTGTTTCCAAGTTTTTAAATATTGGAAAGTATACACGAATGCTGGCATCGACTCTCAGCACAGTTTATAAATGTCCCGTTCAATACCTGCCAAATTAGTAAAGCCACATATCTCAATATCATATATAGTCAAGGTTAAATGAAGTTGTGAGACATATTAACTGTATTGTAATTGTATTGTTGATTTGTTTAAAGGGGGCACGGGTGGCCCAGTCGTCTAAGGCGCCGCGATTCGCTGTGCAGAGTTGCGTGCCTTGAACACGCCAGAAACCTATGATTGAATCCCAGTTCGCCCCGATTATGTTTCTAGGTTTGTCAGCACCATACCCGTGCTCATGGTTTTCACCGAAGTGGTAAACGTCTGAGGCCTGCATCACTTCGGGCTTTCCTCCCACATTAAGCTGACACGCCGTGATATAATTTGAATATTCTTAAAAGCGGCGTTAAACCCAACTCACTCAATCACTCACTCAAAGTTTAAACAAATTTGATGCACAGTAAATAGATCAGGCATACCTATCACAGCTTAGATTCCCGTCTGCCATAGATCTACATAAATGTACATTCTCAAAGATGTTTTCGTTGACATAATTAGGTAAAGCTGCATTGCCAACTTGATCAAGTCAGTTGTAACATAACAGATATCTTTCACGATTAACAAGAAAACAGCGTTATCACTATCACCCGCCATGGGTCACATTAACATTTTTTGGTTCATATAGTTGTGAATATAACTATAAAAGGAGTCCTATAAAGCCTTGAGAAGCAATAGTCCCTTTGGACACTTTACGTCATCAGTAAACATGATTAATTGTGAAATTAATTAATTTTCTGGGGAAAAAAACTACTCAGTCTTGATAAGTATCTCTTAGATAAGCTGACTTCAGTAGTTTCTGAGAAAACTTGACCCCATTGCACACACTATGCATCAAGAAAGAAAACATGAATCAAGGGCCATAACTCCGTAAAATAATAATTGACGGTACCATTTTTTCGACGTGTCTCTTGATAAATTTTCATTCATGAAACTTCAGTAGTTTCTGGGAATACTTGTCAACATTGCACACACGATGCACTAGGACGAAAATCACGGCTTTTAGCCATAACTCTGTAAAACAAATTGACGGGACCAATTTTCGAGCTCATTCATGACAAGTATCTCTTAGATAAGCATGCAAGCATTCATTCATGTAACTTCAGCAGTTTCTGAGAAAACTTGTCCTCATTTAACGCAGTATGCACTGAGTTGAAAATCATGGAGCAAGGGCCATAACTCTTTAATTACTCATTTTCCAACATGACAACGACAGTTGGCACAAGCACGGCAGGTAGAGTGGGTGAACATTCTCCAGACCACATGATTCTCATCCTGGAATATTAACCTTAAAGTTATGTAAAAATATTCTAAACTTAAAGAAAAATCATTCTATGGTTCTATCATCTAGGTTGTTGATATACCATCCTGATTCAAGGGGAGATACTTTCACGGCACTGTGATGAGACAAGATAAAGTTAGAACTTGTAATTGCATCAAGCCAGGTCTGGATGTACATATCTGTTTATATTTTTGTCTTAATATATACAAGAATTGTCTATCATCACCGACGTCTTGTACAATCCATACATGTGAAACTCCGCAAGAGATTTTAAAATAGCGTATTTCAGATGTCCAATTTGTTTTTCCAATTTCATCCAATTTTCCTTAGCACAGTGTAACTGTGACGGGGATTTTTGATCTCATTCATTCCTAATAACCTGATCCAATATTTATCAACTCTCATCTGAGTAGTTGCAGTATATAATTCTGCAGACAAATACGTCCTTTTTCATGAAGGCAGCAAACATTCCAACTACCAGAAATCTCTTGAACTGCGTGGACTTTTTCAATACTTTCTTAATATTTCATTCCTCATATTACAAATGCATATAATATTGCTGACATTTAAAAGTCAAATATTTTGCACGCACAAGAAAAGGATAACTGTTCATATTGTTCAGATAGTTTAGAAAATGGAAAATGGTCTTTCCTGCTTGAGTGGACATTTTTGGCCACCACTTTGCCCGTCTCAAGGTCGATGTAAATAAAACTCCAAGATGTATGTAGCAGCTTGTAGTTTTCACCGGTTTATCAAGAATAGTTCCTGTCTCATTTCGAGTGATGCACCATTCCGATAAACAATTACCTAAGGTGTATTTTTCTAAAATGACTTCTCCACTTCATACAAAAGAATGTAACACAGTCAAGTTATCGCTGTAGGCCAATCACAGTACATGAAAAGATCACAACATCGCCCGCAAATGAAAGCAGTCTTCAATACTTTGTGAAAAAATGCTATGCCTCCAAGATGTTTAATTTCTGTAACTAATTATATAGAAATTATAGGCACTTGAATTATAAAAAATCCACACGGATCCATAATAGAAAAAGTCCTTACATTTTACAGCATATCTTCAGTCATCGTCTCATCCTATTTATTACGCTCCTTGAAGTTTGATTTTGCATTGTAAAATGTTAATACATTCGTATTTCCTGTATTGATTTAAGTGCATGTATGTTTTCTCTCTTTAACATTTCTCATTGTTATTAAACCAGATAGGTTGTTGTTTGAACGTTCGCCTCTTCTTATGATGCACTGTCATCGTGCGAAAAAAATGTCCGTTAATCTACATTGAACTGCATTTATGCCACTTTCACCAAGTTCTCTGTATTTCATGAAACACATGTTCACTAAGAGTACTTCGTAAAAGTTCCCGGAAGTCTGTTGTTTCACTTAAATATATAAATATACAATGACTTTGACTTTGTATTGAATGGGTGTCAATGACTTTTACCTTGGCATGCACAATGGCATGTATACTGGTATAATCATTGTTCACAAATGTCTTATAACCATCTCTTGACTGACTATGTGACCTAAGAACAAACCACGGGCCTGATCAAATTCACACGTGTCCATATTTACGGTCAACCTTGCCTGTAAACTTCGCTCAAGGAGGCTCAAATGATCGTCGTTACTTCCAAGTGAGCTCCTCAATCAATTTTCGCGGATGATGGTCTGTCGGGATGACAGAAGTTATTAATAAAACTTATAAACCTCCGGTGACGTCATCCTATTGTTCTCCAGTCGGGTTAAATTTCATAAACAGGGACGTTGTAATGTCCCTGGGATTTTATATAATATCCCCGGGATTTTATAGGATATTCAAGTCATATTTGCTATATAATGTGTTATAATATCCCAGGGATTTTATATAATGTCCTGGGTATTTTATCAATATAACTTCCGTTCAGATTGTAACATGTAATGAAATGTAAAATCAAATGACAAATGTTTTCTTTATATTCCCGTGGATCGAACTCGCAACCTTCATATCTGTAGCCCAGTGAGTGAGTGTTAGAATGTCCTTTTCAAGATCCGTACGCCAGCAACAGATATTTTACGCCCGTTTCTTAAGGTTCATGGAAAGTATGTTCGAAACATAATTTTTTTGATAAATGTTGTTTTAAGGTTCAAAATCGGTTTATAAGTAAGATATGGGATGCGGGTATTAAACATCATAACAACCCTCCCATACATAATCTGCCTACTATGAAAGAGTATGGGAAAAGTGCATGTTCCTTTAGGTAAAACATATAACATGGCCATGTGATCTGGTAGTAGGGTTTATCTATGTACACCCTGATGGCTCGTCTTTTTGTAACCATATAGATAGAAATGACGTAGAGTGAGTGAGGTAGTATGGTTTTACGCCGCTTTTAGCAATATTCACGGCTGGGAACACCAGAAATTGGCTTCACATATTGTACCCATGTCGGGAATCGAACCCGGGTCTTCGGCGTGACGATCGAACGCTATAACCACTAAGCCACCCGACCGCCCCGAAATGACAAAGACGTTTTAGAAGATAAACTTCTGCAGATACTGTTTGACTTTGGGGAAAGGTGCGGGTATTTCTTCGCAAGAACGTCTAATAAGTCAGATTATGTTAAATATTATGATGCTTCCAATATACTAATTGGAAAGGTTTATAATTCTGTTTAGTTTGACTATTCAAGACATACTTATGACAAAGATGTAAATACATAGGCGTGCACAGTTCTCAATATGCATATCCTAAAAGCGCACACAGCAAGAGATATGTTACAAGGGGGTAGTATTGCTGACTACTTCTTCATTCTAAGTGACATGTTTCTCTGATCTAATGGTTTAACTTCGTTCGGAATCGGACCATATGCCACTTAAATGTTTCATTATAGATGTAAACCAGTGTCCTCTTGATCCTATTTAAATCGGACTTTTGTATTAAAAGCCATTGACACTCTGCTCACAGTAGGCACAGGCCTATAGTCAGGAGTTATGCCAGTTGACATGAAGATGACCTTGGTGAAATCGTCTACGAAACAGGGATGGATTCAGATAACATGTTAACTATAGACCCGTCTCGAACTTGATCTTCCTATCTTAAGTAATAGAAATATCAGTTCTTAGTCGACTGTACAAGCATTAAACCACGAACGCTGCCAATACTTCCAGACTACATACAGGCCAATCCAGGGCACGGAAACATCTCTTCTCAGAGTCGCCAATAACCTCCAGCGTGGAGGTGATGCAGAAACGTACACAAGGGAAAATTCCAATATATACAAAATATACAATTTTGTATACCTTTACCAAAAAAGGCGTTCAAAGAAGATACAGAAGCGCAACAGATGCAATTTTACGAGGCATTGTGCAACATCGATTTTGATCTGAATTAATTCAAAGTCCTTATCAGTCAATACGCCATTTTCTTTCCATACATGCAACATGTGTTTAAAAGTTCACATAAAAAGATTATGCATGGAATCGATCACCGACATGTGGATAATGTCAAAATATGGTAGCTCAGACACAACCGAATACCGTGTGCCATACAAACGTTCTAGCCTCTCACGTTCTGATTTTCTTGTACTGGAAGATATCTGTCTAACTTGAGCAATGTGGTTCTCGTGTGTCCTAGGTTGCCACTCTTCCCTATAAAAACCACTGTAGTCACGTTTTCAGAAATCACCAGGAAAGGTTTTAGAACACCGCGAACAACCTTTGATAGCAGCATGACCGAGAAATCCACAAAGTTTTCTACACGCAGGTACATCACAACGTACACGCATTAAGGCCAAACGATCTGTTCTACCTTAGCAAGTAAACCCACCGCTCCAAGCGTCAAGGAGTTCATCAACTAGTGGTTGAAC